ACCCAAAGTTTATATTGCACCTATGTTTGCGGTGGCTTTTTATGAGCTCGTTTGACATCAATCATTCAGTCTGGTAAATGCAGCAAATTGCGCAGATCTTTTAATCGAAAATAAGATACGTTATAATTCGTTAAATCAAGACAAAAGCTTTCGAATGAACACATATAAATTGTTTTAGTTTATATGAAAATTTTACTATGTTTATCGTCAAATCAGTTTTTGAAGTTAAAGTATTATTTTAGCGCTAATTTGACAGCTGTTATTTATGTGTGGATTAATGATTGGCACAAGTTTATACTACATGTATTATGTGCACATAAGCAATAAAATGTATATGAAAAACAAACAAACTAACAAACAAACAAACAAACAGAAAGAACAGGAAAAGCACAGCAAGTATAAAACGTTTTAAAGTGTACCCTCTTAAATTTTTTTAATGTTATGTGATTTTAGATGCCGGATCTTGACCTGCTTTGAATCTAGAACTGTCTTCAGGAAAAAACGAAGGTTTTCAATTTCAATGCAATGGTTTGCACTACCAAGACCAAATAAATATTTTACAGTATGGCCTCATCTGTTCAGCTCGCCAGATGTTTTTTCTTTACCGAATGATCAAGCTTATTCAACACAGTAATCTGTCAACAGTGACATTTGTTGATTAAGATAGACCTATACATTTGATACAAGTGATCTTTTAAGGATTAAGGAGTTCCATACGCACAGCAAGTGTCATTCAAACTCGTCTATGATAGAAAAAATATAACTTTGAAATAATTCTTCTAACGTTCCACATTAAACAAATATACTCTCTCAATCAGTCAGATTAAACCCCGTTTATTGGGTTTATGATCATCTGTTACAAAACGATATTCTGTCACACAAATAACTTCATACCTTCCTCATGTAATAAATCATGGTTGAAATCTGTAATCAAATTTGTCAGCACCCCAGTCAATCTTTACAAAGCGCTACGATAACAATAAGACTATATTTGCCCGGTATCATATATCATAATACAAAGTACAAAACACTACAAAAGCAGGATAGGGTTAGACGGGGTTATCTTCAAAAAAGGAAAATGCCTTTTATTTAACCATTAGAAGACACTTCAGTCTCCAGATACCAATTTTTTACCGTTAATTATAACATAGGAACGGGACTTATGTACACAACACCATCAATTTTGAAATACCTTTAGAGAGTTGCTTAATTAGTCTGTTTCATATATGATAGTATCTTTTTAAAACAAGATTATTTTCCTTTAATTATTGTAAGATCTAATTAATCTTCTTCCAGCAAAGATTTTGGTATCAGTTACTCTAGTGGCAATTTTAATTTGCCAGTTACTGGTCGCATTTAATTTAAAATTGAAATAGTAATTAATCTCTGGTTTTACTATTCTGTTTATAGTGTTACCAGCTTTGCTGTTTGTTTGTTTGTTTGGGGTTTAAGTCACATCGACACAGTATAGGTCATATGGCGATGTTCCAGCTTTACTGGTGGAGGAAGACCTCAGGTGCCATTCCGTGCATTATTTCTTGCACGAACGGGCACCTGAGTAGAACCACCGACGTTACTAGCTTTGCGCTGGGTTATCTTTGTTGTTGATTCAAGTAAGACAACATGACTTTGCCCTATCAAAAACTCAAACCAACTTTTCCGGTGCCATTTTTTTTTTCAAAAACTTTCCAGAAATTGAAACGAAGTAGTGTTTTCTCAGAAAAGATAATCAATTGAGTCATAGTTTTTTTTTTAATTAATTGTTTCTATTATTTAAAAAGAAAAAGAAAAAAGACAAAAAGACACATTTTTTAGCATACAATGCATTTGTTTTTCTTTGATTTTCAAAATTACGAAGAACACGTAATATATCAACAGTTCTTAAAAGTACAGGAATTCTGAGTCATTTGGCGACAAGGGTATTTATTGTGATCATTTGAAAGAAAATAAAATCATATAAATTTGTTCATATTTCATTCTTTATATCATTCGTAACCTCAAAAACATCTTTTCCCACAAACAAAAATATGATATGGGGCTAAGTAATAGAGATATATGTAATATAATAAGTCTTAAAACTGTTTTTCTATTTTTAAAAATATATTGCCATTTATATCGAAGCCACTATCGGATGTCCCTATTAAAAGTATTACCAACAAATACACACGTTGTAATTCATCTTATAATTTCAACTCATTGTTATATTTCAAGTTGGCTGGTTTTTGACTTCTCCGTTGCAAATCATAATTGCATTGTCAAAAAAGCCCTGTCTACATACACAATCAAAATCACCCACAATTAGCATGGAAATACCGACAAACAACACCAAACTGTATATAATTACTAATTTGCACGCTTTCGGTATTATGGTGTCGATGTCAAAATCCTATGGGAAAGGATTAAAATAAAATGAAAGTCTATACATCCCTTAAAAAGTATTGTGATTTCGTGTTTTCTACCAGACAGATTGTGATCTTTTTGCCCATGATTTTAAATTTCATATTTGATAACAAACAGAAAATCAAAAAGACCCTGATAAAGCTAACTAGAAAGAAACTTGTATTGCATTCTCTTTCTATAATGGCATGAAACGTATGTTTTGCAGTCTTTTCGGGAAATTTGTTTAATGCTTTTAGTGTATTGCTTTGAGTTTTATTGCTTTTTTTGTATTGATAATTAATTCTCCCCGTTCAGAAAACTCGATAAAAGATATGAGACATTATGTTGTGGGAGTGTATGTGCTAGCTAAAACAAATTTTCTGATACAACAGTTCCTTTAAATGTTTTTGAAGCTATATTTTCCCTTCAGCTAACATGCATTTCGTTTACCAGAAACAAATAGTATGCTAGTGAATCTTTGGACAAATTTTGATATTTGTTATTGGGTAAATAGATTCGTACAAATTAATTATTATTATTACATTTACTTGTGCCAATATGAAAGTAAGTCTTGATCTGATAAATTCTACAATGTCTTAAAATGAATACAAAAGTAATTGTAAACTTAGTAAATAACAGAAAAAAAACCCACAGCATTACATTGATAGAGTAAAGGAATGTTTGCAACTTTCATGAAAATTAAAGCAGTATTTTAAACGTTACCTCTCGCCTAGAAATGTATTTTAGAATAAATATGAACGTTTCAGACATTATAATGAATTCCAAAAATGAATAATACACCTTCTACGTGGTTATAGATGAACGCAAAGGAATTATGTATGTTTCTGTTGACGCGATGTATCTTCCATTTTAATAGAACAAAAATCATTTGATATAATTTTAACAAGTAATACTAGTATATTGAGAGGAACGCAGGTGGATCAAGTATATATTCTAAATAGTCAACTTGATGCATTGTTAACAAAGAATTGATCAGATTATATAAATAAAACATTGTCTGATGCAGAAAAAATGAAGTTTGTTAAACAGAGGAACCTTTTTATTATATTTGTTTGTTGCTTTTGTTTTCAGAAGAAATAGTACAAATAAAGTAAATATAAATATAAACACTTTAAAATGCGATCCTAGACTAAGAAACATTTACTCTTCAAGATTTGAAAGTTTTGATCCATTTCATGTTTGGCCAGCATCTTCGTACCATCACCACAGACAAATGGACAAGTAGAACGCTTGAACAAAATTTCAAACACAATCCTATATTTCATTTGATTGTAATTCAATTCAACACTTTCAAATGTTTACCAATCAAACAATCTTGAAATTTTGCGGTTCGTCATTGTTACAAGATATTACAATACAAAAAAGGCGAATAGACGCTCTCGCGAGAGCTGTCAATGAGGAGACAGTTATACGATACCCTTAATTGATCTTCTTATTTTTTTACATCAGTGGCATACAGGACAAACTAGTTATAAAGTGTATTTTTGGGAAAAAAATATTTGTTTCTTAAAATATAATTTTAAGTAAAGAAATGCGTTGAGAGTAGTGGAAAATGATATTTGAAGTTTCACATTAAATGATATTACGAATGTAAGCAGTGTAACTAATTAAACAATACACACATCAAACGTGTGGAAAACGGTCAAGTGTTCAGATACAAGTTGATCATACGTATACGTAGAACATTGTATTATATTTCAAGCGAACCGTTTTTTCTATCATATCGATAACGATATCATATTGAAATTGTTGTCATAACAACGATTATGAAAATAACATTTTTGTGTGTGTATAAAGATAGGGATTTTTTAAGTATTGTAGGAAGAATAGCAGTTAAACTAAGGTTGTTTGGTATGAAGTAATGTTTGAAAATTGCATTACATATCAAGCGTAAAGTAGCATTCGAAGGTTCGAAGATGTTATAATTACTAAAGTTCCATTATTTTTTCTGACAAAAGTACAATGGTTTATTACACGCATCCAATTTGATTGATAATAAAATTGCAACAAATGAGAAAAGGTAATATGGGAACTTTAAAGGTCGTGCAACATTGCAAAACTGAAATTATTGCCCAGCAGCGACAAAGTATGGAAAACATTTTTAAAAAATGTGTATAAACAGTATGAAACCCCAAGGAGAACCAGGTTGCCAAGTCATTTTAGGTACCATTGTACTATTTGTTTTATTTCATTATATAATTATTTATACTAAAATGTGTTAAACTGACATTAATTTGAAATTCCTTTGTAATAAAGGTCTTAATATCATAATTAGTTATTCAATTTTGAATTCTTACACAAATAGGCAATTAAGCAAATACGTTGACTCTATGAATGAAAGATCGACCCTGAAAACCAAATGATTTTTGACTTGCATTATAGCACCCATAAACATCGTATTTGTCAAGGTATATTAGTGACAAGCATAATTATAGCTTTTGGTATAGGAAAACATTTTTATTGGTCACAGATCGAAACTTGGCTAATTATCTCAAACGAGCGGCGTTCTTTTCTATATATTTTGTAACCACCCATTTTAACTCTTCAATAATGTTTCAAATATACTTGAACATTTTGTCATCTCTTTGAATATTTACATAATTCTGTGTACGGGTATCAACCATCTGTTTGCTAAGATGCACGGCAAATAATTTTAAAAAGCTTCAAAAGAATGTGTGAAGAAGTTTCAACTTTTTACAAAGTATAATTGAAATACCTGACACACGTAATTCAGAAAATATCCATCGAACAAGTTTTAACTTTAGTATATTTTGATATTTTGAATCTTAACATTTTTTAGGATTATTGTACTTGATATTTATTCTCTAATCATTGTGGAAAATATGGATACTTAATAAGTTGTAGGACAATTTGTGCAGTCAACATTATACTTTAAGTGAGTAAGTATAAATATAAAAACTTTTTTTGCTGTGAAGTAGTAGCACATACATCCGACTAAATAGCCTTATATCAAATAAAAAAATTCTGTTATAAAACGTATTTGTTATAAGTACATTTGTACTTTTGTCATCATTTAAATCATACATAACAGAATTTCATTTACATTACCATGGCAATTTAAAAACTTTAACATGTTTTAGATATAGTTTTTCCAAGGGATCGAATAAGCTCGATAACAATATGTCAATTGTACATTTTATGTTTAATTAAGTCTGTTTAAAGGCTGCTATGGTAAATATTCGATGCGATCGTCTGCATCGCCATTACATATAATAACAATGATATAACGGAATGGGCGATTTTTACAATCGCAACACAACACTTAATAAATACATAAAGGATCCTTAAAATGATATGACAACATTGCTGACAAGAATTGTGACAATTGCATACTTGGCCTTAAAGATCATTTAAGGAAAAATGAAAATTGAAAGAAATTGAAAGAAATTATACCCATACTAGCCAGATTACATGTTATATGATAATAGTTGAATTATATCTCAATTATATATAAGCGCGCATTGATAAAAAAGTGTGATTTTAAAACTTGGTAAGTTTCCTTACTTTCGATCCCTTTCAAAAAAAATCCATTTTTATTTTAGTTCCGTCCATTGTTTCTCCTTAATGGCAAAATACTTTAGGAAGCACGAAAGTGACACATAGAATGTTCCATGATCATCGCTGAAGACGTATACATACATTTGCTGATGCTTCCAAAATTTTAATAGCATACTATTTATATTTTCTAAATTTAACCCTTGCATTGCTGGGACCAAAAGCGTATGAGCATTTGTCACCAGTATAGAGTCAGGCCAGCCTGCACATCTACATATTTTGTAGTGTGTGTATTTTATCCTTCTCGTCAATCAAATTCATAATTACGTGTATATTATGCATGGCATAATGTGCATAATATTCAAATATGTAACACGCACAATACGAGTCAAAGTTAAGCGGGTGGGTGATGTAAAACTTATTGTGGGTTGTGAAAAAGGCACAGTACTACAGATTGTTTGAATTTGACATACGCGAGAATTTCTTATACTCTAACTGGCCAATGGTCACATGATAATCAAATAATGTTATCACAGAATATTTACACAAATCTTTGCTATAGAATTATGAATCTGGCATATGAATACACGTATATTCGAAATGCATATGATTTGAAAAGTAGTGTTACTTTTATTCAGTGAAAAAGATAATACATGTTTTTGATATCTAGGAAACTGATTGTTATTTATTGCACTTTAAGAGGTTTTCCTGACCTAAAAGAAATTGCAAAGTGTTTCAGAAATGATACTTTTGCTTCTTACTCAAATTTTGTTGTTTGTATGGATTTACATTACGTTCTGTAAAAGATTTGTATCATTGCACTGGAAAGAATAATGGATCTGCTGTAAAACGATAAATATTTACATACATTTATAAACAGGCATTACTTTTAGGAATGAAACTTGGGTTTTACATTGCTGAATTTAATGAAATTGCTCCATACATACTTATATGGCTTGATATATTGTTAATCTGCCCTGCCAGTCATATAAAACCTATATTCTTAAATGAATACTGAATGTTAAATTATGCTCATTTTTTCATTGTCAAGTTCAATTGAACTGGCTGCTTATTTCTAAAGATTGTTTGTCATCATGGTGATTGACCAACAGTTGAAATTGGAAAATGTTTTGGATAAAGTATAAATCTGCCTAAAATATAAAAAAGACTGTCCCACTATTTTTATAAACTGAACGATACAGGTATTTACAGAAGAATTGTTAGGCAATGTGAGTTATTTATCTTTCGTGTGAAGTAAATTATAACATTGAAAGACATTATGGCAAAATGTTACCCTATTTTGACTTTCACTTGGTCTCTTACTATATAGCCTTTGATGGATATAATCTCACTTTAATTAGTGATAACATTAGAGACTTGGATCTAAGACTTGAAACCGTGGTGAATATAGATCAAGTTGAAAAGTTTAATGAAAATAAGTTTCGGGTTAAATAAGATCACGTGTTGTTTTTAATAAAAGCACATGATGAGTTCGATGCAACACTATATATAGCGACAGAGTGAAAGTAAGTACACGTGCCTGCCTCAAAATGTGACAGTGGTTTCTTGTTCCAAAAAGTTTAGTGTTAGTTCACTGACATATAACACTGTTGACATATTGGCATGTTAACCTAAGTCATAATATAATGAATATATGGACACCAAACTTTGATGCCGAGGAATTGTTTCTTGTAATGATTTTTAGTCCTATTTTTTATTCCTATTGGTTTGTTTGTTTAGGCGGCTTAACGGCGACACTGACACATTACTGGTAACATGAGTAGGTACAAGTGAGTTAGTTAATAAAAAACAAGTGTACTTCCTATAAGAAATCGATCAGGGTGTTGGATGGATTCGAAACAAAAAGTTCTCCAAGTGAATTGACTTTCTATAGTGCACAATCTGACTAAAGTACTTCTTACATGTTATGTTATTTAGGAGCTGATTCTAATCAGATTGTTAAGTGCAACACTTCTTTTTGTGGTTCATCTCCATTTACATTTTTACTGCAGTACTATACATGGCAGAGGTACATTAAAAGTACAGACTGATGATATTAATAACTTTTTAATATGTAAATAAACAAGAGGAATGTCTAAAATTAGTCTTCTAGATGGACAAAAAGAAATAACAAACAGATATACCAATAACAGAAGTTAGATTGTTTGCTGAATAAAGTTTGAATCATGTTTGTTTACAAATGTATGTTAATACGTCAAATGTTACGTTTGTTTTAGTGAGTGTGAAATCGTGGATTAATTATAGCTGATTTTAGGAAAATCCTAGAGTAATTACCAAAGACTTTCATAACGTTATTAAAAATTAGTGATTTATGGTAACTTTATAATTGTATGCCAGTTCCTTACACAAGGTCCAAAACAATCGAAATTCTGATTGTATGCAAGTTACTTTGATGACGTTAAAAACGGTGCGTGTTCTGTTTCCAAGCTTGCCTGGTTGCATGCTTTTTTGACTATAATTTCACTTAGAAAGGATGTTCAGTTTTCTTGGTTCGCGTTTGCTACTGCTGCAAGTGACTGCAAAGCCTTAACTACCACTTGATGGTCTATTTTATGCGTGTGTCATTTTAGACAGGAAGCTTCTGTGGAGTACCTCACATTTCATGGGCTGTATTTCCCCTACTCGTCCTCGTTCTCCTTCATCTTCACCCACCATGATTGTTCTTCGTCTTCTTCTTCAGGTATGTGCATGTGCGTCACTCACAATGGCTGTTCCGTATTTTCTTCAGATATGCATGATCGTATGCCGGTAAATTCTATGACGTCATTAACATTTGATGTACTCTATTTCAGGTATGCCTGATTGTATGCCGGTAACTTCTATGACATCACTCACCCTGGAGGCTATAGCAGGAAGAGAAGAAGACGCAGTTGTCGTCGATTATATTCTTAAAGGTAACAGTGAACAACAGCCTAATACATAACATGACTGTAATATAGAGCTATATGTTTTGGAAGAGCGAACTCTCTTCATTTTATCATCACTTTATAAATATTTTGTTCGTTAAAAGGACAACATAAGATAAATTAAAAAAGACGCAACTTATGTGGATGGCTGATTTGATGGCATCTTTGGTATATATTGTACTTTTATATTATTTGGTAAATATGTCAAATAAGATAAATAATGAGATAATGTATCAATCAATGCTTTGGTGAGAAATTATTAACCTATACCGCTGCTGAAGTAACAAGTCTTTGCCACCAGTATAGATCCAGGGCTGTATTCTGCGTCTTTGCCTTACGCAGAATGCACATGCGAGAAATGCAACATCCGTTACAATGTAAAATTGTATTATAAAAGGTCTATATTTTGTTATATTGGCTGATAAATTTCAAATTTTCACTTTTTTCTCGATTTAAAATGGACAGTTCGGAAATATATACTGGACGTGTCCATTTAAGAAAGTTAGCAGGTTTAAGATTATTGAGTTCAAATGAAATACAATTGATAAACTTTTTGGAATAACCGCTGTCACTAACAATATTTGTATTGTTTTGCTGCTGTTTCTTTTGGTTGTTGTTGTTATTATTATTGTTGTTTTTTGCATAAAAGAGTTAGGAATATAATTACTGTCGACCAAACGTTTGGTATTCGTAACAATCTATGGATCATCTAGCATGTATAATGCAGTGAGTAAAAAAAAATGTTTAATTGGCGTTTCATAATGTTTCGAAAAGGTAATTAACGAAATTTTAATAACAGTGACACGAACTGTTGCTTAATCATAATAACGTATTATATAATCATAAAAAAACTGTTACGCGGAAAGTTATAAGAAAATATATGAACATCAAGGAATAATTAAGATCGTCGATACTTGGTATCACTGTCACAATAATAATAATAATATTGATGATGATAATAATGAAAATAATAATAATAATAATAATCTTTTTTAAAGAAGGTATCACATGAAGATACACCATCGTAAAACACAAATTATAACAGATTGAATGTACAGTATAACCTCTACATAGCGACCCTCTTCACGGCAATTACCTCTTCACAACAACAGAAATATGTCTTCCCAAAGTAAACATTTATAATAAATTTAACCTCTCTAGAGCAACCACCTCTCATAAACAAACTAAACCTTTGTCTCTCACAGGATGATGCTATACAGAAATTATACTGTACACGTGCTTCCAAATTATCTAATGTTTGTCCGTATCTTCATAGAAAAGGTTTAAGCAATACTTATGACGACGATGCATATTTTTTTCTCTTTTGTAATTTGTCGTCTGCATGCCCGTGTAATTTGTTATTAATACATATTGGCATATAATAGGGTGCAGCTCGCGTGGTAATATAAGAGATGGTATCTCTGTAATACCAAAGATCTAAATGAGCAGTTTGCATGTTAGTCTAGGTTTTATGCATTAAAAAAAACATAATTACGATTTCACCTTTTCATTTTCTGTTCTTGTAGTTCATTAGAAAATTGAATATTTTCTTCCAGATTTATATGCTAAGCGCGGCCTCTTAACACTTGTATTTATCATAATAAGGCTCCAATCTCCCACGAAGTGACCTCCCTTTACATGATTGGCCGTGGCGTAACCGGTGCGCGGAGTCAAAGGGATCCGGCACAGTGTTGGGATAGTGTAAAAAAGTAATTCTAGAAAAAAAAATAAAACTTTATATATAATATATAGATATATATTATATATACAGTATATATATTTTTAGAATTACCTTTTTACACTATCCCAACACTGTGCTGGGTCCCTGTGCGCGGAGTCTGTCAAGTAAAAAGCCCATAATGGTCACAAGTTCGATCTCCTACCCCACGAGTTTAGATTTACATGGTCTAAATAAATGTACTCCGAACGATTTCTTTACAACACAAAACTTTTCAAACTTGTAGATATCTATAGAATAAAAATCTATGCGTTCTACTCCGTCCATGAGGCCATAACATATACTTCTTTAGAATTATTTATTTGTGAACATTTTTTTTTTAAATAACAACATATTTTTGAAAACCCTGAGAGTGTTTCTTGTATAGCGAATGTTACTGAGGACACGTATATTGCCCAGTGCCGAGGAGGGCTGGATATATTTTCTCTTATTGTATCTATAGATAATTGTCTAGAATTAATCATTAGAAATTAGGTGTTTTATGTATTTGGTAGGAAGTTAGATTATGGACTATTTTTTATTGATTATGATGGTGGTAATTAGGTTTTTAGAGTAAAGAGATATATTGTCGTATGGGCGTTATTAAAGTAACAATCGGTCTTAAAACGTGCAGGCACTAGATTCGAACATTTGTAATTGTACGGCTAATTTCCGATGAGACATATCTTTCAGAATACTGAATCCATTTAATTTGCGATTTGTATTTTTTTCACAAAGAATAATTATGATTGATCTAACTTCAGGTCGCACGGGTGGTTATCTATTTTTATCAAGATCTGACATATAACTTGATTTTATATAGAAGTGTAAAGTATCTAAATTTTATGACATTATCTTTAATCAAAAACAAATTACAGTACTTAGGTATCACTTACTAAAATATGACCACAAAAAAAAATATTTAGAATTTTTTGTAAGTGATTGTCATAAAACGGAAGGAAAAACGGTACTGTCGTGTCGTTATTAGTGAACGTGTCCGTATTTGATATCGATATAGAAAGGATAGCTTATATATGTAATTTCTGTAATAAAGTAATTACAAGTGAAAAATTATGTTCGAATTCAAATTTAAAAAGTATATCTCAGAATTTCTTAACATTTTCGCATTCGCTAGCGATAGAGTATGAAGCAATTCAATCGTTCAGAATTCTACCTGGTACACTCATCATGTATTTCTACCTCGTACACTCAGCTTGTATTTCTACCTGGTACACTCAGCATGTATTTCTACCTTGTACACTCAGCATGTATTTCTACCTCGTATACTCAGCATGTATTTCTACCTCGTACACTCAGCATGTATTTCTACCTCGTACACTCAGCATGTATTTCTACCTCGTATACTCAGCATGTATTTCTACCTCGTATACTCAGCATGTATTTCTACCTCGTACACTCAGCATGTATTTCTACCTCGTACACTCAGCATGTATTTCTACCCTCGTATACTCAGCATGTATTTCTACCTCGTACACTCAGCATGTATTTCTACCTCGTACACTCAGCATGTATTTCTACCTCGTATACTCAGCATGTATTTCTACCTCGTATACTCAGCATGTATTTCTTCCTCGTACACTCAGCATGTATTTCTACCTCGTACACTCAGCATGTATTTCTACCTAGGATACACACTCAGCATGTATTTAACCCATAACCCAAATGATGAGCCCATGTCACGAGAACACAACCAGCCCGCATTTCCGTGCATTCTGACTCACTAAGCACTAAACTGCTGGTAGCACATCTTTTTATCCCTTTAACTTTGAATGGACTGTTCCAAATTCTGAGCAGAGAAATTAAAGCACATTTAAGAAATTGACTCCAACAATGTAGGATTCGAATATCTTAGTCCCAGACGCTCCCGAACTCGCGACCCAGACAGATTTAAAGGTTCAAGCGTTCTCCCTAGTCCGCATTGAATTTCTTTATACAAATAATAATTTATTTAAAAGTAATGATGATGATAATAATAATAATAATAATAATAATAATAATAATAATAATAATAATAATAATAATAATAATAATAATAAATTAATAATAATAATTTCATCTTTCTGTATTAACGTGGTATTAAAAATATAAGGTGTATTTACTACATGTATGATAGCGCACTTTCGGAAACGACAAATTATCCTTTCGATTAATGTTTTATTTGTTATGCGCATGCGTACTAAGCAACCGAGAAAAATAAACATGGCGGAGGGTTCGGATGTGTACGAAATTTCAGAATTAGTGTGAAAAAAATTGAGATACACCTTAATATAGACAATAATTTAAGAAGGAAAACAATGATTCAGAACCCAAATGAAGTAGAAACCACAATTTTAACTGTGATGAACGAGGAAAACGAGCCATCTGAGCTGTCAATTCCACCCGGTGGAGATAATCAAGACGCTACTGGTGAAGGTATGGTGGTTGCAAATTTTTAGATTGTCAACCATTTTATTAACGAAAATTTGCCTCGTCAATAAGGTTTTTGCATTCATGTATAGTTTATCTACACTGGGAATTATATTGATGTCGCATTGCAATGGTATTATCCATGCATTTCAATATAGTTTGCAAATGTTATGCATGTGGAATTTTTGCAGCATTGCTTGCAAATGGTAGATCAAGGGAAATAAATCTGTGTTATATTTTTAAAGTGTAAACAAATAATTGAAATCAGCAGTTAATACGACATTTTGGTTTGTTTAAGAAAGGAATGTAGATACTGTAATGTGAAATAATGTAAACTTGAGATTTCTTTGACCACATCTGTCTTAGGTGAGTTTGTTTTCATCTGACTGTTTTGATTTTTCAATCCATCAGGAATAAAACCTATCTAAGCCTAAGGGAAAATTTTACATTGTTAACAAAAACAATTAAATTTACCCTCCCAAAAGAAAACAATAAAACTAACAAACCCCTTGAAAATATTCTCTTTTATTCAGATGCCATGATAATAAAAATGTAAAAAGCACTGTGATTTTTCTGCAAAAGTCATAAATTATTTGTGTAGCCATCCACTATTACTCAAGGGAAGATGTGCTGCTCATAGGTTAAGAGCTTGAATGTGGCCGTGAAAATAGAGGCGGGCTCTCAGAAAATATTTATTATCATGATTTCATATAATAGAAAGTCGGGCTTGCATCATGTTAATCTTCAATAAGAGTGCAAATACAACACTATGATAAATGACACAAAATCATTAACGGCAAAATGTAAAATAACAAGAATGTGATCAATTCAGACATCCATATTT